AACTTGCAGCTTGTTTTATTTAATTTTATCTAATCCCCCCCCAGCCCTTCTCACACACACATGCTCTCAAACTTCCTCTTTACTTCCACCACCCCCCTATGTCTCCTGGGAGCCATGCAGCAGTCTGGTTAGGGGTCTCCAAATGCTAAAACGCAGGAAGTCACAGCTGTGCTCTTCTCTCTTTCAACATGTTTGAGGGTGAGAGTGAACGTTTTTGTCTCTGTAGCAGCATCTGTGTGTGGATTTAGGTCAGGGTGTGTGCTTTAAGAGAGCCCAGGCAAGCATGTGTTTGTGTCTGAGTGGCTCCTCCATCCAGTTCATCTGGGCGCTTAGACGCTATTCTCTTTTCCCACTTCTGCAGAGATTTTTTCTGTAATTAAAGCGAGAGTTATGGGCCAAATAAACACTCTTGGTGTGAGATGTCTGCATGGTTATAGGCTAATAGTGCATCCATTAATATTAGTAATTTCCACTCCTGCTTCTTTTTTTCCTTGATTTATTTCTTTGTTACTCCATGTCAATCCATTCAATCCAATCATCACCTGTTGATTTCATTGCCTGCCAAATTGATTTTAGTAAATGTAATTAAATGTCCAAATATGCATTGGAGTTTCAATTTCCTATTATTAATACTTATATTACATAATGCAAATGAAAGAAAACAGTCTTGTTTTTGGGACAAATTTGTGTAATTCAGTTGCAAACAGTGGTTATGATAAGATAAGAACTGTGAGTTTGATTATAACTCTTAAGGTTTTGATTTATAGCATTACAATACAATACAATGCGCATTATACTTTATTTTCCAAAAACATGGATGGTAATATCACATTAATTTATAAATAGAGGAATTAGGTGAAAAAAATGAAAAAGAACAGCTTTTTTACATTAAAACTTCAATTAAAGTTAACATAGGTTGGTGGGTTTCATCCTGAAATTTAGTGGGAATGTTTTCCGTCTGGCTCCCAGCTTTTCCTGTTTGCTGTGTGAAATTCAGGAGCTGGAGCGATTTTCTTGTGGAGAGACACATAATCAACATGGATGTGTGTGTACATGCTGATTTTGATGATTTTTAAGTTGAGCCAGGTACTACTGACCCTGTTGATCTTCTAGGAGAGGAATAAGATGTTGAGATAATTTGCCAATATTGTGTATTTAGAATTCAAATTCACTAATGTGAATTTTATTCGTGTGACAGGTCCTCGTATAGATCTGGCCTTGAACTGGAAATGGTGCAAAAGAGATTGTCAAAACAAACTAAAGGCGAGAGAAAATATCTTGTAATATCCAAGGCTGCCCAAATAAACATAAACGTGTTTCCGAATAGGGCAAACCTAGCTGGTCCATTTTGCATTTCAGAGATTTTACCTTGTATCACTGCGAAGGTGGATGTGTTTTATGATTTCACATTGCATTTCTCCCCGAGCGATTTCTGTCCTGAGGTCTACCTTGGTCAGAGCTATGCAAGTAAAGTTGCAGAGAAATCCCGGCGGTATGACCATCCCAATGCATTGTCAATGAGACATAAGTGCTGCAACTTCTTAAGATCCAATTTTCTGTTAAATTGGATGCTTAATTGTATTGAGCCAAGAGGCACCGCTACCTATATTTGTAAATCACCAGGTGTTGGTACAACCCATCAAGTCCATGCATGCAACAAAAAAGTCACGACACTGTCCTCATGCAAGAAGCTTTCCTTTGAACAAATTTATTCTTCGATTGTTTGGGTGATTAAGGATAAAATGTTGCATTCATCATTTTTCTCTTATTTCTAATCTTATCTCAGGTACAAACAAATTTACAAATACTCCAGAGTTTATGAAGGAGTTTACCGCAATCAGTCAGCTGTTATCCAATCCCGATTTTTGACTAAATGACCACATTAGTTGTTAGTTAGAAGCAATTTTCCATTTAATTTCGCTACATTATTAAATAGTATGCAGATCTGCAATTACAAATTAAATTTTTATCAGCTGATGGCAGAACTATGTTTCACTACACCTGCAGCTGGCATGTCGGCATCCAGGAGATATTGGTTTATTTTTTTGTTATTTTGTCAAAAGAAAGAACAGTCGGTGGGTTCTCTGTGAGATCAAGCTACTATTAAAATATCATCTGGAACAGAAACAGATAGAACGTTCAGCAAAACTCCTCTCACAGTCAGACATGCATTCATTTTACTCCTTGGCAGCTCCTTGGCTTTGTTATTACACCAAATGTGGAATTTTTGTGTTTGGGTCTGTCTGAATTCATCAAATTAGAGTTTCGCTGCTAACATTTGCTTTATTCGTTGTGTGGGAGAGATGGAGAGTGGAGTTAAAAGGAGATTTACAGTAGCAGATTGCTATCGTTTTAGTTGACGATTAACTAATTAACATCATATGTTGCACCTTTTGCCTCCATCAGTAGTTTTCATTGAATGCATTCAGTGCAAATGATTTATTCCCCACTGCTTTGCTTTTACTGGTCTACTCTCAGTCAGATTACAATTTAACTCCGATCCTGATGAATCCGTTCAAAATATTCCGACCTACATATTTTACATGATGCGTTTTTAGTCAGATCGACTGTTTGTTCTGATGACCTATAATGCTGTATTTGAGCTAATGACTCTATGGATGTGTACTATGCAAGACTCCTGTTCTGGAATATAAGCATGTTGATGGCAGAGCAAGGTTTGCTGACCAACATTTAGACAAACCTGTAAAATACCGGGAGAATACGGTCCGCTTAGTTGAGACCTAAATAAACTTGATTGATGCCATGGTGCATATTGTCTTTAGAGGCCAAAAGGCAGTGAATATTACCCACAAAACATCACATCAAGAAAATAAATTTGGTGGTGGTTAGTGATTGTTTTTTTTGGAGTTCTCTGCAAACTCCCTGACCAAAAATGATTAAAAGTCTGAAAACACAAATGAGCCAAAACAAAGAAATAGACAAAAAAAAAAAAAAAATACATCAAAGTTCATATCAAAGTTCATAGAAGAGACTCACAGGATATTTAGCACTTGATGGGGGTTTGTGATGAAGAATGGACTCAACGTCACACCTGAGAAATGCTTGAGACTAGTTCTTCCAAGCAGGAGCTGCCATCCCAAATGAAGACTTTAGTACAAAGTATCACATTCTTCAAAGATGTTAAATATTTTTTTTCCTCCATCTTTTTATTTTTTGCACATAAATTAAGTAATGGGCATCAATAGATTCATTTATTTGCTTGTCTTCATTGCCTGTTGGCGCCACCTGGTGAGAATTTTATTCCAATTGAACATGGGGAAAGTTCAAACATATATTCCCATTCAATAGTTGGTCTTCATTTTTACGGCTATCTTCGAGAGCTCCTTCAAGATGACTATTTCAGTTGTAGCCTAATAAGGCTCATGGATTAAATGCCAAGTCTGTGAAGCAGTAATCATAGCAAACAACAGATTTTTTTTTTGAAGAATCTAAAATTTAGAGGATGTTTAGAGTTCTTTAAAAAATACTGGCAGTGATTTTCTACCTAGGGATAATATTTGATGAAGAAATTCATGCACTTTATTAAGAAGCTTATGGTAACTTTGGAGGAGCTGCAGAGATCCATATCTTAGGTGGGACAATCTGTTAAGGCAACTGTAACCAGACCTTAATGAAGAATAGTAGAAAAAAATCTGTGATGGAAAGCAAAAAGCCATCCCAGCACACATTTTGAAGAAAGTTCTTTTATCAGAGGAGAGAAAGCTTGCGTACAGAAGAACACCCCACATCAACCTGAGCGGCATCCCCGCTGTGAAACATGATGGCAGCATTGTGCCATTTAGACGTTTTCCTTCATCTGGGACCAAGAGCTAGTGATAGTTGATGTGAAGATGAATTGAGTTAAACACAGTAGAGGACATTCGTGGAGGAAAATCTTTTAGAGGCTGCATTGGACTTGAGCCTGGGGTAGAATCCATCTTCCAACGGGACAATGACTCTTAACTTGCAGCCAGAGTTCCAATGTTGCAACTTACATCGTAGCGCATCAGGTCTGAGTCGAACTGAGAAATCCGCCACAACTCTTGAAAGATGTTCACAACACATCCTTCTACATCCAATCTACACATGCAAAGCTGGTAGAAGCATACCAAAAAGATGCTAAGTCTTCAGAGTTCACCACTGCTTTATGGTAACAGAGCTCCCTGCAGTAAAACCCAACGTTTTGGGTTTAATAGGCAAAATGCAATGCCGTCTGGCTTTGTTTTGGTTAGAGATCGACATCAACAAAGAAAACTGCAGAGGAAGACAGAAAGAGACTTGACACTGAGGCAAACGTATGATGGTCTATGTGTGAAAAAGCAGACAAACCTCCACTTTAATGTACGGAACACAATCTATGATGAGATCTTCTTGGACAGGAGGAGAAAATAAGGGAGAGACGTTTGGATGAAGCGATGCAGATTTAACTGTCCTGATTATCACAGATCTGGATTCTTTTCTCCAAACCTTTACGAAAGCTTACATCTGTCTGGTAGGGTTTTGTTAGATGTGTTTAAAGGTTTAATCTGTCTCCTACTCCATTTTCACTCCTCACTGTGTTTTATCAGTTGCCCCCGATCTTCCTCATCCTGATGTGTGAAAGTGTGGACATATGGAGATGATCACAGCGCCTGTTGCTGATGAGTTTCCTGGGGAACGTCGACCGCTTGACAGGCGAGAGGTAGCGCTGACATGGTGCCTCAGTTCACCGTCTGGATGAGAGAGATTGACAAATACATGGGAGAGAGGGGGAGGAGGGGTGGGGGACACGGGAGAGGGGGGAGAGACAGAGATAGGGAAAGAGGGGGAGTTGGGAAGAAAAGAGGAGGAGAAATGAAGGGAAAAAATGACTTTACGCCACAATTGGACTGCCCCCTTTTCTCCCCCCCACCCCCCTCAACCTCTCTTAACTTTTTTCCTCCCTCCTTCCCATCTCCCTCCTCCTTCTCCTCCTCCTCTGTTTGTGTGTGTTTTAAATGATTTGGGGAGAAGAGGGGGACAAGCATTTGGAGCTGGGCTGACGGTGCAGGCAGGAGCGTCACATAGACGAACAGGAGCCTGAGAGGCTGCAGACTGGGACTAAAAGAGGACTAAAGAGGCATTGAGGGGGGGTTCTGGATCCTATACAGAGCAGATAGGTGATTGACAGCTGGACAGATAAAGGAGTATTGACTACTTGGGGGGAAGAAGTGTTTCAACAGAGTGCAGGGACAAAGATATATTTATTTATCAGGCAGGGGAAGAGACTTTTTTAAAGGGGGTTGTTCTTTTTTTGCTTTAATGAAAGAGATGGAAGGAAGCCCATATTGAATAAGGGAATCCTCATCGTTTTCTTGCAATGTTTTTAAGAAACTCTGATCTGAGTTATCCCAGGGAGCCTGCTTTCACGACAGGATACCATTACTGACAACTCCAGAAAAGACAATCTACGCTTCACCTCTTTTTTTGTTTTGGTTTTTAAAGAGCTTCAGTAGAGGTGCTGGACTCATTGACACTATGTTTTACTATTTAACAGCATCATGGACTGCTTGTCTTCTTACCTTATGCCTGCTGGAGGTATGGACTTCAGCCGGGCCGGCTGTCCAGCATTCCCAAAGACAGAAGCAGTCTCGCAGGTCTAGACAGATGTCCACCCTGTCATCCCTGTCATCGCCCAGCAACCTGTCAGAAAGTGCTGAGAGAAAAGTGGAGCGCCTCGGCCAGGCTTTTAAGCGAAACGTCCGCGTGCTGCGTGAGAAAAGCGCCTGTTTGGACCTGGTTTTCCTGGTGGACGAGTCCTCGAGCGTGGGGTCCAACAACTTCCAGAGCGAGCTCAGGTTCATTCGCAAGATGCTGTCTGACTTCCCCGTGGCGCCGGAGAACACACGGGTGGCGCTGGTGACCTTCTCGTCCAAGAACCACGTGGTTACGAGGGTGGACCACATCTCTGCGCCCAAATCCCACCACCACAAATGCTCCCTGTTCAACCAGGAGATCCCGGCCATCAACTACAGAGGAGGAGGCACCTACACCAAAGGAGCCTTCCAGAGAGCAGCAGTAAGTCTGACTCCCGGATTAAAATATCACTTTCTGTGCCGTGTCAGCAAATACATTTCTCTCATTTAAACCATGTTTGCTTTCACATAATCCCTTTATGTGCTGTCTGTGTGTGTATGTGTCAGACTGCAGCCTGCTGTGTGTGTGTGCGAGTGTCTACGCGTGCAAGGAATGACTGTGGTTTAGAAAGGTTGATGTTAATGAGGCCCTGCATGGCTTTGCTGTTGCAGCTTCCTCTAAATTACACAGCAGCAGACAGAGAGGGGAAGCTGCTTGCTGGGTAATTGTTCAGGGCTTTCCAGTGATGAAAATACCTGACAGAGCAAGACTACACAGGCATGAACAAAAACTGAGCTTAGAATTGGAATAAATTAAGAGTCAAACAATATTGTGCTTCTCGCCTCTTGAAACGTATTACGCATTACATTTTGTTTAAGTCAAAAAGCATGTGTGTTCATTGTTTTCAGAAATGTTTGCAAATAAAGTCGAAATGGCGTGGCATGTATTTGTATTTTTATTCCTTTGATCGCCTAATATAGATAATAGGAACTGTTCACTTTCATTCACCTGGGAGACTTTGGAGTCTCTCTTCCAGCTTTGCACAACTAAAGTCGGACATTTTGCACGGTTCTTTTTTGCAAATATATCTCAACCTCAGACTGGATAAAAAAGTGATTCTAAATGACTTTTGAAAGCTTTGCCAAGGATCATTTATTGGATTTATTTCTGGGCTACAACTGGATCGTTTTACAAAACAAGGATGCTGTACTTGAAACCACTGTTATTGTGGTTTGGCCATAGGTTTGGGGTTGAGTTTTGGCCTGAATTTGAAGTCATTTGCTGACCCTGTGTAGTTTTCTTCCAAGATTGTCATGTTTTAGCCCCACCTAAATTGGATCAGCGCTCACAATCCAATTTAGTTCAGGTTATTTATATAGCACCAATCTCAAGGCACTTTTCAGAGACGAGTTCAGTTCAGTTTCTCTCTGCCCCTGCTGAAAGGGAACCCATGCATGATGCTGTCACAGATTATCTCCTGTGAAAATCAAGTGTTTAGTGACGCATACGGTAATAATTTGATAACATTCGCATGGTTCTGGTTTTTCCAGAGCAGCTTCTTCCACATTCACTGTGCATTTTATTGATTGGAGAAAACTGAAATCAGGTTTTCTTGTGACCTTCTTTCAAAATAGTTTTCCTTCTCAATGAAGGCCAGATGAAGGGGCCTTGTTAGCAACAGTTGTTTTGTTAACAGATTGTCCCCAATAGTAAGTTTGGGTGGATGACACGGTCTTAGAAGTTCTGCCAAACTATCCACGTGTTAGTGATGCATCAAAAAGTCCTGTCTGGTCCGAAATCATCTATTTGTAGCCCGTAACTGGTTCCTTTAACCTTTCATGGTGTTAACAGGGAGAATTCTATGGCGTGTAGGAAAGGAAGACCCTAACATTTAACAATTAGAGGATTTGGAAGCAGCTGATATTAAAGTACTATAATCTAACCCTGCTTTAAAAATGTTTATAAAGTATCCCTGATCTGTTTGTTGGTTTCTTTGGTTGTTATGAAGCTGTTTGTTCACTGAGGTAGGCTGCTCCGACTAACCTCTGATGGCTTCACAGAACTGTTGGATTCCCTATGAGATTACATTACATGTCATCAGGCTTTAATTAGTAGTTTGTGGCCTCTGTCATACATTAATTTACAAGGGGGACGTAAGTGGCGTCGGATGTAGGAGTTTGCCCTGAAATCAAAGGATTGACGGTTCAACCCCCGGCTCCGACTTTCAGTGCCGTTGTGTCCTTGGTCAAGACACTTCACCTGCATTGTCTACTGATGGTGGTCAGAGAGCCCAGTGGCGCCAGTGTACGGCAGCCTCGCTTCTGTCAGTGAGCCCCAGGGCAGCTGTGGCTACAGTGTAGCCACATTCACGTACACACCATCAGTGTGTACGTGAATGACTGAATGTAGTGTAAAGCACTTTGGTCAAGTCTCCTGACTTGAAAAAGCGTTATATAATTACAGGCCATTTACCATTTTGGGCATTAGAGTAAAGGGGCCTGAACAGATTTTGCTATACAACTGTTTTCAAAACAAGGTATTATTTGCCCAATTTGTGTACTATTAAATAATGCTACGTTCACACCACAAGCAGCAAGAGCAGCATAAACGCGTGTACTGTTTCAATTTTGATGCTTGTTCAAGTTTAGTTCTGACGCGTGGCTGAAGCCTCGCTGAAAAAGTGTGTCTGATGCTTGTTGGGCAGAGCTACCGTATCCTTTCTTTGTAACAATGGCAGCTATATGTGCTGTTATAAGTGGGTAAAAAGTAGTTTTGATATGTTTTTCAGTGAGAAAGTCAATTTTCATCTGTGCAGTCAGTTCATCCAGATTACCATCCTGCCTTCAAATATTATTTCGCTGTCGGAGCCGCTCAGACTCAACTCCAGCAGCAGCTGCGTTTGCAGCGAGTCGCGTGCGTCAGATGCTCAAACGCTCACAACATGCTGCACCTGCTGCTCAAAATGAGCTGCGTGACCTTTTACTGCACCTTGATGCTTGTCAACCACTGACTTTGCATGTTAACGAGCTGCTCCTGCTGCCTTTGCTGCTTGCGGTCTGAACGTAGCAAAAAGGGAGGATTATACTCCTGCATCCACACACATCAAATGTCGCTTGCGTCTGGTTGCGAACCAGTTTTGCTGGTATGCTTCTGCAACATCAGTCTGGAATTTTTAGGGACGCGCAGCAGTTTCCCGCTTAAGCGCTAGGCAGAGCCTATTTGAGAACTTGAGAGAACTTCGGCAGATGGTCACGAGAACTTCTTTGGCGGCACTTGCGGGGTTGTTTATTTTTCCAAAAGAACATGTCTAAGGCATTGTACAAGTGGTTGTACTTTCGAACCTCCTCTATGAACCTTTCATCATGGTTATCCATTGTTGTTATTACTCCTTAGTTATTAAAAATGGCTTGCCCCAGCACCGAATCGAGGACGACCACACAGACAGCCGGAAAGGCATACCAAGGACCAATCACAGCTGCTTTCTGTCTGCACACTTCCGCTTGAGGTCTGATCCAGTTTGCGACCGTCCGACATGTAGTGAGGATTTTTTTGATTTACGAGACGACAGTTGCAGAGCCTTTGCGCAGGTGACATGGTCGCACACAGAGACAGATTTGACGGTTGCAGAGGCTATGTGTCAGAAGTATAAATTGGCCTTAAGCCCAAATGAAATACACGATGGTTTGTGGTTCTGATGTAAAAGTTGAAGAGGTGTGAATATCTTTGCAAGGAACCAGAAGTGGTGGACTTTAATTTAAATTTATTTGTTTTCTTTAGCTACAAAGCAGTCCTGGTAATTTTTCTTAAAGGTGACATCAATCGGAAATCAGACCTATCAGATTTGGAGCAGCTCCAAATCTGAAATAGTTGTTGCCATTCCAGCAGAGTCAGATCTGGCTCAAACCTGCCTGATTTGTCAGTAAGTGTGGCTGCTTGTGTAACATTTTACCAGGAAACAAAGGTAAATGAACCATGGCAAACTGCTAATGTTGTTAACGCTTCATCCACATGAAAACTCATACACACAATTTTTAATTTATGTGCGCATAAAATGGGGTCCAAATGAGACCTCATTTTCTATTAAAGTTTTTCTCCTAAAATCTATTGTACACGAGTTTAACAGCAATTTAAAAAGGATTTTAAATGTAAAACACTCCTTTAAAGTATTCATCTTTGTTTGTGGTCGTAATGCTAGTCTTTATTTGGGCTGATATGGGATGTCTCGATGTCTGGGAGTCCACACTGGACATTTGCCACAATTCATCTGTCAAGTGCAAACAGCTCAGCTGTAAAAGCTGCCCCAGTCATATATAGTTGCTATAAACATTTACCCCTAAGATAATGCTCCAAAGTTCAGCTTTTGTTTTTTTCCCCCCAATATTAGGAGCATCACGCCTCAGATGAATATAAAATGTAAAAAAAAAGAAAGAAAGAGTCTAATGTGTTAAACTGAAATTATTCAAGCTTCCAGTTACTTGTGAAACTGATCTGAAACCTAAGTAAGCTTTCTTTCAGCAGGTCCTTGTTCCGACCAATACCCTTGGATTAAATCCTCCATCAGAGAGCTGAAAGCTTGGCCCTCAGGACAGGTTTTTAGTTCAACATCCTTAGTCAGGTGCTGATTAGCAGACAGCTGGCTGTGTCCCAGAGTCTACAGACCTCTGCCTTTATAGGAAAAAAGCTTTTTGGGCAAACCTAAGTTCTTTATCGTTTCTCAAAACAGCCAATTGTTTTAGGTAATTAACAGATTAACCTAGTAGATCCCTGAATAGGCTCTAGGGCTCTTGGTTAGCACTGTTGAGTCAAGTTTAAAATAAAAAAATGACTTGGAGAATGATTAATGATTCTTTTTTTTCACATATATTCACCATCTGAGCAAATTCCCTTGTAGCTCATTTAATGTGTAAGACTCAGGCTGACTAACAACAGAGCTTTGTGCTGCTTACACAGAGCTGAGACAGTTTTTTTCTTCTCTAAATTAAGATAAATGAGCCTAGCAGATCCAGACCTGGATGCATAATGTTAACTGGGCTCCAGGAGCACCTTTCCAACTAATAGATTCACCCTCGGGTTTGCTGCATTGCTTAATATGCACAATGAAGTAAAAATGCAAAAAGAAAAGGAAAACCTAAGGGTGTCTTTGATTTATTATCTAATCCTATGTGTTTTTAAATTGGCTGTCTGAATAAGAATATCACAAGGGAGAAAGTTTTTTTTTTTTCCATTTGTGACAGAAAAGATGGGCCGGCTTGCTCTGAAAAGGGAAGCAACCATCACCTCTAACCAAATAAATTACTCTGCTGCTGCAGCTCATTGTTAAAATGAGATTTAGTAGATGTTTTTTTAAATTAGTGTCTGAACATACATGAGTGCATCTATAGAGAGGATTGAGTTTGTACGTCGGTGGAGAAAGACATTGTCAATGTAGGAAAGAGGGAGTG